ACACTCCTCCTTCACCCCCTTCAGCTATTTAGTCATCTTGCTCATCTCGTGGAGGAGGCGCATGTGATTCTTGTACCTCATCTGAGCCTCCTACAAGTCGCTCTCCACTTTGCTCTTCTATGCTTCGAGGACGGCGTTCTCATCGCGCAGCTTCTTCATCTCGGAGGTAGGGCTTGTTTCGCCATTCAGGACCAAGGTCGTCGAAAAATCCTCATCATGGCGACCATGTCATCAGTCAATGTCTTTCTCTAGGCCGCCCGATCGACTCCCATAATTGCATTGGTCTCTGACTCGCCCACCATCAAAGAATGGTCCCTAGAGAAGAAGTCCCACTGAGTGTGGCAAGGAGGTAGTGCAAACTTCTCAGTGGGCATGCTCTCCTCGAGGTCGACCAGCACAGAACCCTCGGTACGTCGCCTTTTCGACAAGATATCTTAAGTAGGAGGGGACTGGCTGCACTGAAGAGAGGAAGAACCGTCGATTTCCTAGTCAGGCTTTCCCATCAGCTGGACTTGAGAAACTCTGTTCTTGCTTTTCTTACCGCCCTTTTCCGCCGCGAGCTTTAGAATGCGTTCTTGCGCGTTCGACATCTGGCCTGCAATAATAGACAAAGAAAACCAAGTTAGTAACAAGAGGAAAGGGGAAGACACCTCACCAAAAGAAGTTTTGTTACTTAAAAATCTCAAAACCTCCTCGTGAGACCCACACTCGAGGAGAGACTTGGTATTAATCAGGCAGGCATCACGAAGAATCTCCCCGCGCTCGTCGAGGATGAAGTTCCCATCCTTCTGGATGCACCTGACAGGAGTAAAGTCGGACACAAAGTCGACCATTTTTTAGTAAGGCATCCGGTCGTCAGCATCCAGGTCGACGTGCTTAATGATATAACTATCTGTGCCCTGTTTAAAGTGGTCATCGACCCACTCGAGCGGAAATTTCAATACCAAGGTATCCTCGGGCTCCCCATTCTCTTCTGTGACCGCCAAGTTGTATAGAGAGTCGACGGCTGCGTGCAACACATGCTTCACGATATAAAACCTATTCTTGAAGGCGCGGACAGAATCTTGGTACGCCCGGAACAACTTCCTCAGCTGCTTCAAGGATACCCAACTGTGCCTGCCCTCAAAGGATTGGCGCTGAAGGTGGAAGGTACCGAAGAACAGAGGAAGGGTGGCCCCAATATGAAGATACTCGTAAACGAGCTCAAATGCCCCGCACGGACGCTATGGCATTTGGGTGCAGCTGCGAGGGTGCCAGACGGAGCCACCGGAACACGGCCCCCTGGAAATCGCTGAAGGAGAGACGCATCCCCGCCTCATGAAATATAAACTCGTACATAGAAAAACCACATCTCCCAGAAGCTCAAGCAGATGCAATGTCTTTCTTTGGGTTTGTACACCATCCAGCTTGCAGAGGAACCTTCTAGACAATCCTCGACAGTCGTGAAGGCATATGTATCATCAAAGGCGAAGCGTGAGGCTATAGTTAGAGGTTCCTACCCGGTCCAGTCTGCGGGCGTACGAACAGGTGCAACCCTTTCGACCTCGACGGGAGTGTCGGGCTCGAACTCGTCATCAACATGGATAATGCTTTTAATCCTTACAACTATTTTACCTAAAAAGCATAGGAAAACGGTGAGTTCGACTCCAAGATCAAATCCACCCTTCCATCGCAAATCAAGTGAAAGGGCGAAAGAGATGGGGAAACCTGGGGACCATGGGCCCCCTCCCTTATGAAAGGCTCTTCCTAGAAGAAAATCGACGACAACTCTACGCGGCAAGCCTCGCCGACAGCGAGGCTCCCCAATCGAGGTGACTCCGACACGCACAGAGAGATCCTGAGGGAACCTCCCCGCAACAGCCACACACTTGCGAGGAGCTAAACTCCTCGAGGCATTCATCCTAGCTCCCCAAAACCTTCATCGCAGGTCCCCAGGACATTCATCGGCATCTTCATGAAGATCCCAGAATCCTCATGAAGTTTTCGGTGTCCTCGCTAGAAACTTCATACCTTGGCCAGAAACTTCATGAGACACACCAGAAAATTCATAGCTTCACCAAAAAACTCATAAAATTACACAGAGGAGGTGGAAACTTACTTGTGAGAGGAGGAGAGCCCACACGTTTCTGAACATGTCAGACACGTCTCTCAACAATGCCCCTTAGTCGGGCAGACCACTACTTGGCGCGAGGAGAGCCCACATGCTTTCCCCACGTTCTCCACGTGTCCCTCACGCGGGGACATGTCATCAGGCAACTATCCACTTCCGAAAGAGTTGGTCAGTACACCTTCCGAAGATCACAGGACAGTTGATCCAAAGCGAAGATCACGTGCTGGTCTTCCCTACGCCACGTAAGCCCTGGCAGTTACTTGTGTTGGGCTTGGAAATTCGGCCCAATGCAATGTAACCGTTGGCCCTGCATCAGAGGCACATTATAAATACCCTCTTTCACTAAATGGTCAATTATCTTATTTTCTACACCTATTCTCTATGTACTTGCTCTCTCTCTAAACTCCCTTACTCACTTAACATAGAAGTCCCTTGCAGGTACACCCTCTCCTCCTCTACAACACCGGTGAACACAGAAGATCACAACGCGTGGCAGACTGCTAATTCCTTTCTGATCAGGCGAGATCAGTTACCAATAGTGATAATTAGTTGACTTAAAAAATAAAACCCGGTCATTTTCTAAATCTCATATTTTTTTTTATCATTTTTATTTGCGTAATTTGCTTTTGCAAAAAAACTTGAAAATCTCTCATATTTACTTTTAAATACACACTAATAACCTTGTTAAAACAAGTAATTCTTTTGGAGATGATCTTATATTTTTATTGCTTCGACACAAATAATACACTTGCTAATTTGGTCATCAATGATCTAGCAACATTTTGCAACGGTTGATAGTCCTAACTGTGGCGAAAATTAGTGCGTTATCCAATTTATTACCATGACACATAGCCCGTGGTGGAAAGTAGATCACTTTCTACCAAACTATTCGTTACCTCGGACCATCATCACTAGTGAAATCCTTATTCGAATGGTAGTGAAATATAAAAGCATTTACCGATTCGTTACCTCGGACCATCATCACTGGAAGAAAATCACTTCAAAAAAATAGAAGCATTTATCGATAGTGATAATCAGTTGTCTCGAAATGATACCTAATGGTTATCTAAATCTCATATCTTCTATAAATTTTATTTGCTCAATTTACTTTTGAAAAAAATAAACTTGAAAATCTCTCATATTTACTTTTAAAAGTACTAGAAAAGCCTTGTTAAAACAAGAAATCATTATGGAGATGATCTTATGTTTTTATCACTTTGACAGAATTAGTACACTTGCTAATTTGATCATTAATGACCTCGCAACATTTCACAATGGCTGATAGTCATAACTGTGGTGAAAATTAGTGCTTTATCCCGTTTATTACCACGACTCATAGCCCATGGTGGAAATTATCTTACTTACTATCACACCATTTGTTACCACATATCATTACCAATGATAAAATCCTTATTCAAATCATGGTGAAATGTACTTTTTGTAATAATGAATAAATAATCATGTCTGGAAGTGTGTTTTAACATGATCTTTTTATTAATTTTTTAATTTTTTTCTAAATGTTATTTTACAATATTTATCTTGTCATTTATTTATTTATTTATTTATTTTTATCTTTATCATTTTAACCAAAACTCGTTGTTATTTTTTATAATTTATCATAATTTAAATATGTTTTAAATACATGTATATAAAAAGTTAAATTTTGTATAAAAAGTCTAAATATTTTAATGCAATATGCATTAAATACTCTTATTTATATATATATATATATATATATATATATATATATATATATATATATATATATATATATATATATATATATATATATATATATATATATATATATATATATATATATATATATATATATATATATATATATATATATATATATATATATATATATATATATATATATATATATATATATATATATATATATATATATATATATATATATATAATAAGGTTGTAAAATTATTCATATAATCAACAAAATTAATATTTCTATCAATTTTCTTAAGTAATACTCTATCCGTACGAGGGGTGGCAAAATAGATTCGATTCGTTGGACATATATGTTTTGCTCCCACTTTAGTGCAGGAAGAGTCACGAGTTTAAGCTTTCACTCTCTAATGTGTTCGCTCTGCTCCGTCCTGATTCTTTTGTGATCTTTTACGAACACAAACATTTACTTAAACTTTTTTATTTTTAGACTTAAAAGATGCAGCATCTGTGGGTTTTCCTTGCCATGCCCTAACTTTTTTTGTGGGCGATCCTAAATTTTAAGTACACGTCCTCAATTATTACTGTCTTGTCCCGCCTCGTTCTATTTTTTACATACTTTTGTAGAGTTTACTTAAATGGGTCGAACATACTGGTTTGCCACCCCTAATTCCTAGCATATTATAAACAAATTTTATCTATTAAAATTTATTAAATAATTAATATATTTGATTTAAATTTTAATAAATTTAAAAAGTTAAAATTTATAAATTGTAGGGTGGGAGATTTATGTGATTATATATTTATAATTTTATCGAATAAAAATTAATTTAATATATATAAAAGTTAAGATAGTAAGAGGACGAAAATACCCCTGTTCGTGGAGAATAATTCCCTTCTAACAAACCATTTCATCTCTGTTGAATCGACGCTCTCTCTTATTTCCTCTGCTCTAACTGAACCTCCACTACGCTTCGGTGAGTAACTCATCTTCCATTTCTTCCTAAATCCATGCATGTCTAAGAAAATTCCTTTCAATTTCAAAAAGGGAAAACAATAATCATAATCTCAATTCAAAATTAATTTCCACTTTCATATTGAACCCTCCAACAACACTGGTCCTTTTAGATCATTTGGATTGTTTGTTTTTACCTGCATTGCTCTCTGTTTGAAATTTTGCAGACCTGATCAAGTTTTCGCAATGTCTGACAAAGGAGGAAAGGCTGGTTCTCTGTTAAGCAAAGGTACTCAATTTTGGACATTCATTAAACTTTTTGAGTTTTGGGTATTTTTTTTTTCTAATTTGTTTTTGTTAGGGTTCAATTTTTTGTTAGGTTGTTCTATTAGGTTACCATTTTACTTTTCCCTTGATTTGCAAATGTTGCTTGGTAGTTGTATTTTAGTTTTTCCCTTTGTTTTGATTACTCAAGTGAAATTACACTCCTGTTCGAATAAACAACTTATTTTCAGTTTGTAGCACAAGCGTTTATCATAAGTTATAAACAACTTAAGTATTAACTATTTCTATAGAAAAAGATAAAATGATTAAATTGCTTTTGTATAAGCTATAAGCTGTTTTCATAAGTTATCTTGGAGAAGTTATGAAAATAAGCTAAACACAACTAAAGAACATGCATGCTCATAAGTTGTTTTCATATGTTGTCCCAAGTGATCTCACAAAATTTATGCTTGCAAGTAAGCTCGAATAAGTCAATCCAATTTTACATGAATTTCATTTCTTTAAAGTGACTAGTTAGTAAAGAGAGAAAATCAAATGTTGATATTTTGATACATCCGTGGTTAGTTATGCTTGTATCATATATATGTAATATTAGCCATTGGTTTATTTGTCGATGGTTGTTAACTTGTTATTGCTCACTTTACACTAAAAGATAAGTTGGCCATGTTAGAGAAGTCAAATCCAACATATGTGGTGGCTGCGCTGAACTTGCTTTGTTAATCAGTGGCACATGGTGGGTGTCAAATTCCAATCCTTTGAACCATTTGTTGATTTGAGCACTTGGTTATTTTTTTCTTGGTAGGATCCCTAAAGGGGAAAGATGATAGTGCAACAAAATCAGCAAAGGGAAGGAAGGTTCAATTTGCCAAAGAAGGTTAGCATTATTATTCTATTGTCTTTGTACTTCTTCTAAGTGGAGTATACAAGCTGCTTAAAATGATGATTTCAGTTACTGATCATGTTTACAACTAGTTGTGCAATCCCTTTCTGAAATTATTGTTTGGTTGTATATAGCTCCATTTGAATCCATACTAAACGGGCAAAAATCTGGTGGAAAAGGTATGATTGTAGTTTCCAAAGTTATTGTTATCTCAATTATTTTGGTGACTCCGCACTATTGATTGATCATTTTTTCCCCTTGCTTTCTGAGTCATGATTCATTTTTCCTGATTTTTTCTTCTTTCTTTTTTCTATTTTCTAGCTGATTTTGGCAGAGGCAAAGGAGATAAGATTGCTAATGGTGGAAGGAGTTCTGCGACAAAAGACCCGCATCAATTTGAACATAGAGTTGATCAAAGTTGGTGCTTGCATACATTATCTCTTGTTTCCTTTTGCTATGAATTTATGTAAACTGTTCTCCCTCTGTCGCATATCGTATGATGTCAAGGTAGTGGTGCCATCCCTTAAGAAAAAAATAGCGCACAGTATTATAGGGATAAGGGTATATTTGAGCAAAATTATTTAATGCTTCATTGGAGATGTAAAACCACAATCAAATTTGTTTGGCTCAAAAGTCATACAATATAGGATGGAGGGAAAATATTATTAATTTGTACCCTTTTGTTAACTGTTCACGTTGTGATTTAGTCATTTAGCTTGCATTACATGAAACCAATGTTGTTAAATGGCCATGCCATGAAGGCATTATAGCCGCAATGGCGTGTTTAAATGGCGTTTTTCATAACCTCAGAAAGTTTATGAAGGAATGCTGCCTTCCATGGCGGCACCATAGGCAGCAATGGCGTGTTTATATGGAGGGTTTTTGGCCTTCTGCCTCCCCTCATCTACAACACTGCATGAAACCTAAATTTTATCTCTTATTAAACCTGAAATTTTCTCTTATTGATATCAACAACATTAATTCTCCCCGGGTGACATGCAGAACTTCCTGACAATTTCCAATGCCTGATGGACTGCGAGGCTGCAGTTATGTTACAAGGAATTCAAGATCGTATGGTTTCTTTATCTAGAGATCCAGCTATCAAAATCCCTGCGTAAGACTCTTCCCTATTAAGGTATGTTATTAGCATAGAAGATCCATTTCACTGATCCGAACTTTCTTCTTTATTTTCTGTTGTAGATCATTTGACAAGGGACTGCACTATGCTAAAAGCAGCAACAAGCATTCAAATCCCGAGTTTGTTAGACTCGCTCTTGAGTATCCTTAATTTTTTTGTTTGCTGTATGTTTATACTTTATACATCCGTGTGCTGTCGGTGCGTGGGTTTGTTTGCATGGATAAGTTACAATATTGTTATGTTTTTTATTTCTCTTCTCTGTAAATCCCCATAAAGTTCTTCTCTTGACTCAAATATTAGGCCTCTAATGAATCATGGTCTCACTGAGAGCGAGGTATCGGTCTCTCTTATTCTAACTTCCATTATTTTTAACATATTATATTGCTTTCTTGATATTATTATCCCCTGCAGATATGTGTGATTGCTAATGCGTACCCAGAAACTGCTGATGAAGTTTTTGCTCTCCTCCCATCACTAAAGGTATTTTGTGTTACTTTCATTCAAATCATTAATGGTAGGTGCATGGTTTTCGGTACAGAAGGCCTTACAATTTCTCCAACTAGTTTGTTGCCTATTACATCTATTAGGAGACTCGCATTAGATGAGATATGATATGAAAATGTGTTTATAAGTGGGAGACATTCCTCACCTTACAAGTCGATTTTGTAAGGTTGAATTAGGTCTAACCCAAATTTTAGAATGCTATCAAAGTCTATTGATATCTGTTGGGGCACAGCTATTGTCAGACCACTTTTGTCGCACCCTAGATGTTCAGTCGTGGGTGTAAGTGAGGCTGTTAGGACTTTGGAGTTATACATTCGATGAGATATGCCCTAAAATGTGGAGACATTTATTACCTTATTGGTCAGTTTTGTAAAAATGAAATAGATTCGATATAAAAACTTAAGTTATATCCTTTAGTTGGATTGGTATCCATTATAATGTCATCACAGGACCTATTGGATTTTCTATTTGCTTGGATATCTTCAGAGGTTTTGAATCCTTGTCAAGAAGATACCCTAATATAAAAGAAAACAATATGCTAATAGGATGTTTCCATCTCATAGTATGTATCTATTTCAGGGTAAGAGGGGCATTAACAGCCAACCTATCGAAGAATCGTTGAGTGAGCTTGCTAAGCTTAAACAGACAATGTAACTAAAACCTCGTAATGAAAAGGTTCACTGGTGAGTTTTCTTTTGTTTATGTTTTGACTCAGCACCTTCCCTTTGTATGGCTTTAATACTGATTGGCTTTTACATGTACGTGTTTGCAGTTTTACTGTAGTAGAGCTAGAAGTAACTGCTCTGGCAAATGTAGCACACTCAAAACCCTTGATGAACTCACTAATTGAGACAATATAATGCAAAACTTTAGTCTGAATATTATATTCACCTTAGTCTCATGCTATTAGGATGTACATTGGTTTAATGGATCTTATGTATGGCAACAAAGGTGAAACTTGGTGACTTTAAGGAATGTTGTATAATCCATTTTGCTGTTGAATATTGTCTCATTACTTCAAAGTTTTATAAAACCAGAAAAGGACCATTGTCGTGTTATGAAGAGAATGGGTACTCTCATGAGTTTTTTTTAAGTCACCTGGTCATGTTAAAGTGACATCAAGGCTAAAACTGGAGTTCTACAGATTTTCAAAAAGAGTCGACAATCATTTTTTATTTATTTTAATGTGTAAGATGCTGTTTAGAGTCCTTGAATGTATTAAAATTACAAAATGTCAAAAGGTGCCATTTTACTTATTCATTTCGTTCTTCACACGTGTTTTTTCTTCGGAATTTTGGTTTTTAAATGTATTTTTCGTTAGTTAATTTAGTCTATAAAATTATAAGAGATTCTCATATCGTGTGAAGGAGGCATAAAAATAACTATTTACTCTTTTAAAAGTGGATTTTTTTTCATGTGCAATTTACATATCGTGTGAAGAGGCATAATCATAAAAAAAAGAGCATAAATATGCCGGGTCTTATTAAAAAGGAATTGTGAAACCAACCTTTGTGCCTTTGCTTTTGCATGAGGAATTGTGAGACCAACCTTTGTGCCTTTGCTTTTGCATGAGTGGATCTATATTCTTTAATGTTTCTTTTTTGTTTTGGAAAATGTTATCTAGCAGAATATATGATCTAGACTTTAATTGTATTGTAAATTTTTTTTATACCGTGTCAGTTAATTACAACCATAAATTTATTTAAAATATTTAATTTTTATTTTAATTATTTAAAAAAAATATATTTAATTTTTATTTTAACTACTTAAAAATTAATACAAACAACGTTAATTTATTTAAAATGTTTTTAACTACTTAAAAAGTAATACGGAGTTAATATGGTTGTGATGTAGCGATAATATAAAAAAATTTATATTGAAAATAACAATTAATCTCTTGTTAGGATAAAGTTCTTTTGATACAATATTTGTGTATCTTCTAACCCGGAATCTCCTAGATTCTTACTTCTAAAAACCTTTTTTATACTTCAAATCCAGATCTATAAATAAATATATAATTAAGGATTAGTAAATAATAAAATTAAAACATATGAAAATACAAAAAAAAATTATAAATTTGAGGAGATACTTCTTGTAATTCGAAGATGTTACTTTTTAACCTGTAGTCTCCTAAATCTTTTTATTTGTGATGCTTCAAAGTTCAAATACACATCCAGCAATAATAACTAATACTGTTGTTTTAACAAAACAAAAAAAAGTTTTAAAATAAATATTTGTCGTACCTCGAAAAATACGATCTTCGCGATGGACGCGGAAAATACGTTCGAAACAGAGTCGCCACCGAACTTTATTCATTCCAAGGATGGAATAGGAAAACATCGATAAAACCTTTAAGGAGATAAGAACATGGTCATCGCAACCAATATTCTAGGTTTGGGAGTCGATTACATAGAGGAAAGGTATTAGCACCCTCTACGTCCGTTGTACTCAACGGGAACCTCTTGATTCGATTCGCGAGAGAAAGTTAACTATGTTTGTTTATCTTCTAAGAAATTGCTTGCTAAAGGGGAAACGATGGTCTTAAGATAGGGTGCTCGCCAAGGATTGGGGCCCTTGTGCCTACGTATCTTCACTTGTAAGAAGTGGAAAATCAGAGCATTCGTAGTTCGTGGGACTATGGGTAAAGGTTTGGGAATTGTGGGGAATTGTGCTCGCCAAGATAATCGCAATCTTGTGCCTACGTATCTTACATTCGAAAGTGAATGAAGAATCAGAGCAGCCGTATTTCGGCCTACGGTTTGCTAAAAGGTTTGTGTTTGGAATGAACGAGAGTTTAAGTCGCATTCTAACTACTAAGCGTTGGCTTGTCTGCTCGCTAGGGGAGGCTGAAGCACTAGTTCATATGCGCGGAAGAAAGGACTAAACAATGTTCTTGATAAAAGGTGGGTATGAGTTGAACGAGAGCTTAGGTCGCATTCTAACTGCTAAACGTTGGCTTGTCTGCTCGCTAGGGGAGGCTGAAGCACGTGTTTGTTATGCGCGGAAGAATGGACCAAACAATGTCCTTGGAGAAGAGTTGTGGATCGCACGAGGGCGAAGAATTTAGTGTTTGATTGATTAAGTATTTTGGTTTAGAAAAGAGGGTAGATTTGAATAGGTTTTAGGATTGTGGTCGCACGGGGCGAAAAAGAGATTGGTTAGATGTATTGGATGTTTAGCTAGAGGTGACGATTACCTGAAGCTTAAGAAAGACTTATCGGGCCCAAGTAATCGGGAGAGTGAACCAAAGACTTGGAGCTCTCTCTTTTTCAACCTCAAATGCGAGAGAATAGGATTGAATATGGTTTGAATAAGTTGAACGAATGACGATTACTTGAAGCTTAAGAAAGACTTCTCGGACCTTAAGTAATCGGGAAAGCGAACCAAAGACTTGGAACACTCTCTTTTTCATCGCAAAAGGAGTTGTCTGAATGGCATTTGAAAGATAGGATGTGATTAAAGTATTTTAACAGATGAGGATTACTCGAAGCTTAAGAAAGACTTCTCGGACCTCACATAATCGGAAGAGTGAACCAAAGACTTGGAACTCTCTCCTTTTCTCATCTAATATCATGAAAGATGTTTAATAATATTATAGTGTATTAATCGGATGACAATTACTCGAAGCTCAAGAAAGACTTCTTGGACCTTAAGTAATCGGGAGAGTGAACCAAAGACTTGGAGCTCTCTCTTTTTCATCCTAAGTGTTTAGAAAAATAGACTTGAATAAGTTTATCGTTTTTTAGGAGACAATTGTTCGAGCTTAAGAAAGACTTCTCGGACCCAAACAATTGGGAGAGAGAACCAAAGACTCGGGACTCTCTCTTTTTCACCTTTTTATTGAAATTGTATTTAAATAGTTATTAAGTATTTTAGTTTGATTTAAAGAAAATTGCTTGATATGAATCAAGGTTTGAAATTTACGTGTTGGAACGAGCACGATTGAACTAATGGATAGGAGGTCCTATGGGTATAGGATAAGGTTGATGGCGAGGCTAAAGCACTCGATTACAAACAGAGTATGAGGATTTGATATAATTAAGTGTTAATGAAAGTTGATGATTAATTACATTTGTTTTAAGATACTTGATGTTGGACCAAGTTTGGAAAAAAAAAGATTTGATTTCGATGTTATGTGTGAAGTGTGTAACAAGCGTCGTTGTACAAAGCCCAAGAGGAGGCTATTAGGTCGATGGTGATCGTAAAAACAATCGGCTTACAATGAGGTTTGAAAATGGGCTTGACATTAAGTCAAAATATTAGTTTTTTTTTAAAGGTTAAACAAGCATGTGAACGACATAAATATAATTGAGATACGATATGTAAAAAAACATCACAAGAGAAAAAAGTAACCTAAATAGAATAGGGGATAGGCTAATCTAGACATGCTAACCTAATTAACTAAAGTTAGTAAGAGAAAAGAAACTAAACTAAATTATTAGATTATTTTTTTAATTAATGAAAAGATAGGTCATTAAGATAATTATTACATTAAAACAGAAAAATAAAATTAAGTATTTTTACATTGTCCTAGCATTTAAAAGAAAAAGCTAATTTAAAACAATTAATCTAATTAAAATTAATTATTTAATAACATTAATCATTAAGTAAATTAACTATTATTAAATAAAATATTTTAATAAAATTAATTACAATGATAATAGTTCAGAAATTTTTTAACATAAAATTAAAGAACGTCTTTTGAAGTTTTTTTGTTTTTTTGAAAATATTTATAAAAAAAAAAGGTTAGTAGAAATAAAAATAAATGGGTCAGTCTGCAAGTCAAACAGGGGTGAACCGCATGGGAACACTAGAAGGGTCCAGGTCGGTGACACTTGTCACCGGCGTAACCCGCCACCTCGCACAATCACATGATGAATGGGAAATAAACAGGACCGTTATCCTTCTTACTCTGACCTATCTCTCTCCATCTTCTAACTCTCATCTCTCATCTTCTTACTTGTAAAAAAAAAACCCGCCGGAGAGGATGGTGGATGGCGGCGCCACCCCTCTTCTCCGGCCAATCACCAGACCAAACCTCAAATCTCACACTAAAACGCCCCCTGAGTCCAAATTCGGATTCAATTTCTACTAACTCATCCTCAAAATCTCAAATCCCAATCCCAACCGAAACCCTAGATACGATAACAACGGCGAAAACAACTCAAACTACATGGAAAATAAACTTAAACCATGCAAAAATCTCCAATCAAGCAACAACAGTTCAAAAGGTAGGAAAGAAATACCTGGGTCGAAACAAATCCGACCGGACGCTTTTCCGGTGAAGGTAATTTCCGATTTCCCCTTCTACTGGCCCGCCTTATGTTATCATCCTCTAACTCTTTCTATCTCCTTTTCAGTGACCTGAAAGCTTGGAGCTTTTCAAGTTTTGGGTAAGGTTCTTCTCCAAACTTTTACGTGTATATTTTTTGTGTAGAACTTTAGGGTTTTCTTTTTCTCTGCTACCGCCTCCTCCCAGAATGAATAGTAAACGTTATATATATGGGTTTCAAACATATGAGCTAGGGTTTTTCCTTTGCAAATCATGTGAATTTCTGGTTGTAAATTGGGTGGCTTTTTGGTTGTGGGATAGAAATCGTACAATTTTGCTAATTTTGTCAATAGCATTTTTTTTTGGAATTATCTGTTTTTTT